CTTTGGGAGATTGCTGAAATGCAAGCGGATAGAAAGGAGTACTTGAGGGTAGTTAAGGGCTTAGGGGGACTAAAGACCGTCTCCTAATATTCATCTATTTGCATTTAGTAAATTACACGTAATCAGAGTGATCATGCTTGGGAGGAAACATAGTGAAAATGTAAGGAAGCAAACCAAGAAAGAGACAGGGAGAGACGAAAGAAAAGAAAAAAATGGAAAAGAAAAAGAAGAAATGGTAAAAAAAATAAAGTAAAATAAAAATTACAATTTAAAAAAAAAAAGCACTGTTAGGCTTCTATTTTCTTWGCTTCCAGTAGGTGGAGCTGTGCCTTACGGACCAAGATTTTGCTCTCGGGCTGTAGGAAACAATCCTTATGAGGCCACTCCCTCCTCCCCACCAGGTGTCTCTCCAATCCTGTTCACTTAGGTTTATTCCTGGCCTCTAGTCTCCTTGCTTCTCCTGCCAGACAGGCCTTCCCCATTGTGATACCTCTCCGCAGTTCAAGCTACACTCTGGGCCTGCAGTTTCCTGAATGTGGAGCATGGCTGTTGGGAACCAGCCCCCTATTGTTTTGATTCCCTCCGATAGCCACTCCTCTGAGAGCTGGTGAGACAGGTTTCGTTTTAGCCGCTTGTGGGAGGGGGGGAGTTGGAGGTCAGGTGCCTTTACCTTTCCCCACGCTTCTACTCACGCTCACTCTGATAATCACGCCCCTGGAAAGCCGGGGAGAGATTTTATGTGATTTCCCCGATGTATGGAAGAAGGGCTAAATGTCACACACCTGTTCTATCACTGAACTTGCTGGATGGGGTCGGATACGTCGGAAACTGGTGATGGTGATGTCAGCTCTCCAAGATGGTGTCCGCTGGCTTCCTCAGTGGGGTGTCCGGTGTGGAGGGCAGATCTGGACTATTTCTCTCCCCGTCTCAAACCCAGAACTCAGCCTGGAGCACTGTGAAGGCACAGTTAGCAGGACCCGACAGAATCCGTAGCACCATTTCTCTGCATTGGCATGTCTGAGCGCAGGCTCTGGCTGCAGGGCGGGCCGCTAATCAGTCAGTCTGAATCTCCAGGTGCACGGTTCACTCAAGATTGAGCCGCAGTAATTGATCCTTGGGTGTTGAAATCTCCAGGTTTCAGTGCACCCCAATTTTGCTGGAAATTCCTAACAAGATAGCTTCTGGCCATTCTAAACTCGCTAATCACCTGCGCAGTGACATGGAACATGGGGGTGAGGCACTCTATTCGCCGCCATCTTCATAATCCTACACTATTCTTAAATATTTCACTACTTTGGGTGTTTTTTTGGAAATGTAATTATCTTATTTCATTTTTTACTTAAAAATTTTTAAAATTTCATTTTTATATGAAGTCCTCATAAAATCATACAATATCCATATGAGAAAGAATTGAGTTTCTACTCCCAATTTTGCTACTTGACCAATCAAGAAATAGTTTTAATAAAAATGCTTTGAATTAGTTATATCAACTCAAGTTTTCTCTGCATCTGAGAACAATAATGTCATTTTTCTTCTCTTAGTATTGATGGAATGCTTGTTCATGAACAGTAGCGTGTGCAACTATCAATAAATAATGTCTTCATTGAATGAATGACTGTGTGAATAATTTTTAAATTACATATGTTTTCTAAGCAACTTTCAAGAATTTAAGAAACATGGGTCTAAGAGACATGCTCCAAACAGATTCATTTAGCTGTTAAACAAAAGTAGTGTAAAATATGAATTTTGAATAGAACAAAAGTATTAATTATAAATGAGTAACAGTGGAAATCTATACCATATTTTGTCATTGGCAGTACAAATATCCTCAACAAGTCTCACAATTGACTGTTTAATTTTTTAAAAATGTGTTTATCTATACACTATAGTTATATACAATAGTGGGATTAACTTCAACATAATCATACTTGCATGGAACATAGTTTGCTCCATTTCAGTCCCCAGTACTTCCTGTTTCCCTCCCCTCTTCTCTCCCCCTGTTCTTCCTCTATTCTACTGGTCTTCCTTCTATTTTATTATTTTTTAATTGGTGTTTTATAAATATACATAAATGTGGAATTCACTGTAAGATTTTACATAGTAGTTCTGTATAATCATTCTTGCTGAACTCCTTCATTAGTTCCAAATTTTTAGTGTGCTTTTTGGGGTTGTGTATATACAAGATTCTGTCATATACAAATACTTTTATTTCTTTCCACTCTCGATTTGTCTTCTTATCTAATTGCTCTGAATAGAACTTTCAATACAATATTTAACAGAAGTGGCGAGAGTGCATATAATTATCTGTTTCCTAACCTTAGAAAGAAAGCATTAATTCTTTCAGTAATTGGTATGATGTTAGCTATAGGTTTTTGTACATGCWGTTTATTAGATTGAGGAGATTCTTCACAATTTCATCAATTATGTTTTAATATGAGAAAGGATGTTGAATTTTCTGAAATTCCCTTTTTGCATCTGTTGATATGATCAAGTGATCTTTGTCCTTTATTCTATTGATACATTAATTAAATTTTCAATGTTAGAATGATATGTCAAAATACATTCTACTGTATTTATGATTTTCAATGTTAGAATGTTAGAATGATATGTCAAAATACATTCTACTGTATATATAACTAAAAAGAACAAATAAAAAATTTTAAAAAAATGAATGTTAAACCAGTCTTTCATTCTTGAGATGAATCTCAACAAGTCCTGTTGCTAGAATCCATTTGATAGTATTTTGCATCTATATTAATAAAAGTTATATGTATTTAGTTTTCTTTTCTCAACATGTCTTTGCCTGCTTTTTTATTTTTTTTTTAAATCAGGCTAATATTGGCTCATCATTCATTGAATGAGTTGGAAAGTGGTCTGACCTCTTGTTTTTTTTAGAGAGGAACTGTATTCTGATTTTTGTAATCCACATGCTCTGTAAGAAAAGTATCAATCTCTTTTTTTTGACAATTTCATGTTGCTAAATCTACATCAGAAATAAACTATGTCAGAATCAAGAAGTAAATATTTCAGTTACAAGTCACAACTGAAAAATAGTATTTTTACCAACTGCCTGGCAGAATTCAAAACACTCTTGTGAGCTTTAATGATGTATGTCAGTTCCCTATGGCCAGCAGGTGTCTCCCAGCAGCTAATATAGGATATTTAGTTATTGTATCCTTTTGTAGCCTAGAAGGACCTCTTTCACACTCTATGTAGAATAGATAGAGCAGTGGAGTTGGCTGCATGCCGTGTGATACACGTGCTTTAGCAGAACAAAGGAGCATAAATTGGGCTTGCAACAGAGAAAGTTATTCCCACACAGGCAATGAGCTAAGCACAGACCATGTAGACATTTTATCTCTTGGTAAGGAAGTGTTCCAGGTACAATGTATTCTCCTGCAGCCAAATGGGTGTCAAAAGACTGTATGAGACTGCCTTTGTCAGCACCAGTTTAGTTGAAAATTCTTTGATTCTAAAACAGTAGTTGATTGTTTAACAACATTATGAAATATTCATATTAGGCTACATGTTTACACATTTTTTGTGAAAGTACGTTGAGCGAAAAAAAACAGGTCATGATCATGGATCATGTAATTTAAACCTCATGTATATATTGTGTAGTATATACATACATACATGTTCTTGTATGCTCTAAAAAAGGAGGGAGTTATGCAATGAATTCCTTCCATTGTTTTCTCAGGGGAAGAGTTCTAAATTAACTACATGCTGTGGTTGATTTTTTTTTATCTTGAATACTTATAAATGTAGCATTTTGTTATCACAGTGTTTCAACTAGGAAACAATTCTGGGAGCACCATATACGCAGATGAACTGTGTATAGAATCTGTCCTCTTCTGACCTGTCTGAGTCTTCTACCCTTTGAAAAGATACAGAATATTCCATATAAAAATGAAAATATTTCTAACATTACATGTTCCTTCTCATATGTCTTTTCCTTAATGAGTTCCTTATATTTTTATGTTTTTATTTTGTGTTAATATGAAAACTTTCAAACATCAGAAAAGTCAAAAGAACTTGTGAATTTTCATGTGTGTATTCTTACCACCTAGATTTGACAAGTTTCATTTTGCTGTATTTATCACATATCTATTCATTCTTCTTTTCATCTCTCTGTATTTTGGAGATGAATTTTCAGCTTGCAAATGTCAGTACAATTTAACACTTCAGAATGCATAACATTACTTTTTCTTAACTCTTTTTGAAGAACAATCTACATACAGAGAAATCTCAAATTTTATTGTATCATTTGATAAGTTTTGACCAACATATACACTTTTGTAATATAAACCTCTATCAAAATATTGAATATTAATTTCATTCCATTAAGTTCCTTTGTACCACTCTCCAGTCAGTTCTCCTCAAAGTAAACATTATTCTGATTTTTTCACTATACATTTGTTTTGCTTATTATATATAAATGGAATCCTACTATATAAACTCTTTTGTGAGTGGCTACTTTTATTTAGCATAATGCTTTGAAGAATCATTCACGTTTTGCATCTATCAGTAGTTTGTATCTTTTAATTATTGAGTAGTAGTTTACAACATGAGGATACCATATGTTTTTTTAAATTATCATACCATAGTTTTGTTTTATTTTGGACATTTTGGCTATTTCCATTGTTTTTACTATTATAAATACAATTGCTGGAAGTATAATTAGATAAGTCATTTTGTGGAAACATTTTTAAATTTTCTAGGTGCATATATAGGCATGGAATTGCTAGGTCATGGACTAGGTATGTGTTTAGTTTTATAAAAAACTGCAATATATTTTTCCAAAGTGGTGTAAAATGACATACTTTATACTTCCTCTAACAGTGTATGAGATTTTAGGTTACTCTATATCCTTGTCAACATTTGGTGGTAGTTTTTTTGTTTTCTTTTAAAAATAAGTTTAGTCATTCTGGTTGCTGTTTATCTTGTTATCATTTTAGTTTTTAATTTTTGTCATTACTGTGTTATTTGCTCTCTTTCAGACTGTTCGGCATGGTTTTCCTTATCAGCCCACATCGTTGGCCTTTGATCCAGTTCAGAAAATCTTAGCTATTGGAACAAGGACAGGTGCTATACGAATGTATCCTTAATATTTGGTTCATTATTACCTACATTAATATTAATTAAATGTTCTTAAACATTCAGGTAAGAGAAATATTTATGCCTAAATAAAATTTATTGCTTCTTTAGAAATGAGTAACTATTATGAGGTGCTATGGTGCACACCTATAATCCCAGGGAATTGGGAGGCTGAGACAGAAGGATTGCAAATTCAAGAGGCCTCAGCAATTTAGCCAGGCCCTCAGCAACTTGGCAAGACCCTGTCTCAAAAAATAAAAAGGACTTTGGATACGATTCAGTGGTTAAGTGCCTCTGGGTTCAATCCCCAGTACCAAACAAAAAGAGTAACTATCTATAAATATATGTGCACATTTTCATCTGATGTAAGTTTTCACTTATCTGATATGCCCCCCACCAAACAAAAAGAGTAACTATCATGAAAATCAAATTTATTGACATGTTTTTAATGTCTTTGCAATTAGTATTGATGTCCTTTCTTAAATTTCTGTTATTGGTAGTTTGTATTTTCTTTTTCCTAATCACATCTTGGCTAGAAGATTATCAATTGTACTGATTCTTTAAAAAAGAATCAACTTTTAGATTCATTGCTTTTTCTCTAATGTTGTACTATATTTATTTCATTAATTTTTGATTCAATCTTTTTTTCTTTTACTTTGGGTTTAATTTGATCTTATTCTTTTAGTTTCTCAAGGTAGAAACAGGGCATTAATTTGAGAACTTTCTTCTTTTCTACTGTGTACCTATAGTACTATAAATTTCCTCCTAATTGCTTTAATGTCATCTCAGTTTTTCAAATTAATTATCTCATTTGAGATATTGTAAACTCACAACTAGTTGTGAGAAATCCCTTGTACTTTTCCCCCCRATTTCTTCCAGTTGTAACATCTTATAAAACTATAGTATAATATCACAATTAGAATATTGATACTGAGACCATCAAGATACAGGACCCTTCTACCACTATAGGATTTATCATGTTGCCCATGTGACCTCTGTCCAATCTAACTTTCCACCACCATTATTTGACCTCTAACAACCACTAATTTAGTCTTCATTTCAAAAATTTTGCCATTTTGAGAATGTAATATAAGTAGAATGGCATAGTATATAACCTTTGGGGTTCAGCTTTTTTTTWAACTCCTCATTAATCTTTTAAGATTCACCCAAATTGTTGCATATATTCATCCCTTGGGATCTACAAGGGATTGGTCTCAGTTCCACCCAGGGATGCCAAAATCTACAGATGCTCAGGATTCTAATGTAATGTGGTATAATATTTGCATAAAACCTACACATTCCTTTGGAATGCTTTAGATTATCTCCAGATTACTTAAAATATCTAGTGTATATAAAATGCTATATAAATAGTTGTTACTACAATATTGTTCAAGTAATAATGACAAAAAGAAAGTCTTTGCATGTTCAATACATATGCACTTTTTCCCCCAATATATTTGATCCATGGTTTGTTGAATTTGTGGATGTAGAGCCCACCAATTTGGGTGTTGAGTGTATAAGAGCAGTTTATTCCTTTTTATTGTTATTCCACAGTTTATCTGTTTACCTGTTGAAAGATATTTGAATTGTTTTTAGTTTCTGGTCATTATTATTAAACAGCTGTGAATATATGTGCACATTTTCATGTGGTATAAATTTTCACTTCTCTGATATAAATGCCTAGGAGTAAAATTGGGGCAATCGTATGGTTATTGCATGTTTTATTTTTTAAAGTATACAGTTCAGAGTTATTAAATACATTTATACTATTGAATAACTATCATTGCCATCCTTCTCCATACATGTTTTCATCTTATAAAACTGAAACTCTATAATAAGTAATTCCATATTCCTTTCTCCCATAGTCTCTGGAAACTACCATTCTCCTTTTTGTCTCTATAATTTTCATTATTCTAGCTATGTCATATTAATGGAATCATTTAATATTTGTCTCTTTTGTGACTGGCTTATTTTATTTATCATAATGTCTCCAAGGCTTATCCAAGTTGTAGGGTATGCCAAAATTTTCTTTCTTTTTAAGGCTGAATAAGATTTCATTGTATTTACACACCACATTTTGATATCCTTTCATTTGTCAGTGGATACTTGGGTTGCTTTTGTGGTTTAGCTATTGTGAACAGTGCTACTATGATCATAGGTCCTCTTTTTTAAAAAAAAAAGAGAGAATTTTTTAATAGTTATTTTTTAGTTTTTGGCGGACACAACATCTTTCTTTGTATGTGGTGCTGAGGATCGAACCCAGGCCGCACGCATGCCAGGCGAGCGCGCTCCCGCTTGAGCCACATCCCCAGCCCATAGGTCCTCTTTGAGACATTGGTTTCCAGGTCTTTTGGGTATGTTTCCAGAAGTAATTTTATTTAAAAATTTTTTGAGGAATCTCCATTCTGTTTATTAGTTTTGTAGTGATACTAATTTACATTTCCATCTGTAGTCAACATCTTTTGCTGAAAAAAATATTTTAATTTAAGATCATCTATTTATATGGCTAAACTTTAAGACTTTTAATTGCAAGTCTTATGCAGACTTTGGACCAGAATTTTCAGGTAAAGCAATTTCCATAATAATAGGGTTTTGTTTAAGAATTTTTTAAAACTTATTTTATTTTTAAAATTGATTGATTTATATGTCTATTTATTTTGGTCTCAGTCTAGCAGTCTTGCATGTTTTCTTTTTATCTAGGACTAGTTTAACTATAAAGCTTTCAAACAATCTTGAGTAATAAAATCATATTAAAATAAGCAAAAGATGAAGGGAGTTAAAATTGGAGGGCTAAAAGTTCTTTCATCTTAACTCCATAATGAATTTTAAGAATTATCTTAAAGTGTTTATAAGAAAATTTAAAATTAGACTTGCATGTCAAACCAAATATTAAACAAGGTGTATAAACCAAAAGCATTTCACCAGAAAAAGGACATTAGCTTAATTATGCTTAAAAGGTATAGGAGAGGGCTGGGATTGTGGCTCAGCGGTAGAGTGCTCCCTTAGCACAAGCGGGGCCCCCAGGTTCGATTCTCAGCACCACATAAAAATAAAGGCATTGTGTTGTGTCCATCTACACCTAAAAAAAAATATTAAAAAAAAGTATAGGAGAAACTTCTGTCAAAAAGAGGGGACTTTCCATAGGAACTCTCACAGAAGTATTCCTAGGAATTTGAGGGGGCAGTTTACCTTGCTGGGTTTGAATTAAATTTCTACTCAGTTTTTCTGCAGCACCCCATTTGTGATTCTATCTGATATATCCCCTATTACATGTATCAGAAAACCCCGAACACCAAAGGGAATGTGGGATTGCTCAATGTGTAGGATGTTCATTCCCTTCTGTACACCTCCCACATGAACTGTATTTTTTATTTTGGGGGGCTGGGGGATACTGGGGATTAAATTTACAGACACCAAGCACTGAGCCACATCCCCAGCCCTATTTTGTATTTTATTTAGAGACAGGATCTCAGTGAGTTGCTTAGAGCCTCACTTTTTTCTGAGGCTGGCTTTGAACTTGTGATCCTCCTGTCTCATCTCCACTTGCCAAGCCATTGAGATTACAAGCGTGCACCTATAATGCTACCATGCCTGGCTTTTACATGAACTGTTTGAGTTTCTTCTAACCCAAGATTGTGGTATATTTTTTCTCACTTGGCTTCCTGTGAGACCACTTCATGTCATAGATATGATGCTCTGACACTTCTATCATGACTTAGTCACCCAGGGGCATTCAGAGTGGGCCAGAGGGAGCATTTGTCTCTGAAGTTTGGAGACCCTCATGTAGAAAAATTTCTAATAGAACTATTTCCTGCAGCCATCAAATCCTTTAGCTTCTATCATAAAAACAGACTAATCAAATACTAATGGACAAAAGAACATGTAAAATAATTAGATTAAAGTGCACATTCAGATCAGAACAGAACCAGATCAGATATCCCAGAGTGAGAGTGACCACAAGGTCAGGTGGAGACTGGCAAGTTCAAGAGATTTCAAGCCATATAACATGAATTACATATAAAATAATTTCTTCAGCTTGGTGATCTTCTATGGGCCCCTTACCTCATTGATGCCATGCCAAAGAACTTTCCAGTAGGAAGTGCCTCACTAGAGGGGCCACTGAATACTTATCAGTTTTGGTAGTCAGACACTATATTTTTCCTCTTGAGGCTTGTGGAATTTTAGGAGCAGCTGAAAGAAGGATGGAGTGAAATCCCCCAAATATCAATGAACAAGAAGCAGCAGAAAGGAAACAGCTGCTCACTGAGGTTTAGCCAGACTCATAAGATAACAACAACAAAGGAAGCCACAAAAGTTGCAACTGTACCTATATTGATCATTATGCTCAGGGGTCCCTAATAGCTTACTGAGGGCTAGTCAATCATCCCTAGTCCTTCCCAGGTGTCCTCCCTTGGTGTCTAACCTCACAATGGAGGTGTAAAAATTTCCCAAGAAATTTCCCTTAGATTTCCTGTGTTTTTTTGGGTTGCCAGTTAGCTGAGAATCAAATCTGTCCTATCAGTCACAGTTCTTCCTGGTCAGTGGTCACTGGCTAAAGAGAAAATGGTCCAGGGAGGAGAAGCTAGGTTATCAAGTAGAATTGTCTTGGGAACACTCCCCACCCCCAAATGGGTGAGCACTAACAAGCCTCCCTGAGTCCTAACAACTTAATGGAATTAGTCCAGGCTGAGCTGCTGCTACCCATTGTTTCTACTTCTGGAGTTAAGGTAACTCTTAGGAGCTATTGGGAACCCTCCAATCTAGGAAGGCCAAGGTTATTCCTGCAGAGCAACCAGAAATTTGTCATGAACTTTTCACGATCTTTTCCTATTTGGTACTACTTGCAAATAACCAAACAGTCTTAAGGCAAGCAGGAAATTTTTATTCAGTAGCCTAAAAAAGGAGAAGGGGAGCTCAGGCTCTAAAGGCACCTCCTCTCCAAGCAGATCTGGTGTCTGGGTTTTTATCAGAACTGATTTATGAAGGGGATGGTGTAGAGTA